AGTTCGGTCCGAGGTTCGAATCCCGAGAACAGGCTGGCTGCATGGGCGTTTTCGTGGTTTTCCCCATGTGTAACGTGTATACGAGCCAGTTTCCCTTAGAAAGTCCTCCACGAAGGCATCCCTCCCCTTAGGCAGATATCCCTCCAGGCTTTGCCATAATCACACACAATAATCACAATCGCCATAATCACAATCGTATAGTGCGATGGAGAAGGCGCGGTATTGCTGGCTCGCGTTTGTAAGACTATTCTGTGTTGGCGACTTTACTTTTATATTGAGTCAAGTAAAAATAAACCACACAAAATATCTAGATATTTGCAGCTCTTTTTGTTAGGACAAGTGTCTTGGTTGAATTAATTATGTAGATTTTAAAATGTTTCACGGCGCCCCTGGCAAGAGGCCGCAGCGTACAGTTTGGGAAACGCTGCCTTACGGGATTATTCGAAAAACGTACCTGAAGATGTGAAAATTTAATTTTCTCCTGAACTACTTTTGATGGCTCTAGATTATGTCTTCAGAGTGGTTTAAAAAAGCTAATTGGGACTTGGTCAGTGAACTTAACCTGTTTTTTTGAAGACTGGACTTAATTTAAAAGCTTCATTACATTACGCTGTTTTATAGCTTCCGGCCCTAGATTATGCCAACAGAGTGATTTAAAAAATCTGCGTGTGACTTGATCAGTAAACTTACATGTTTTTGTGAAGATTTTTTGATTTATCCCAAGTTTCATTTACAGTGCATTAATCTGCAGTTCTTTTTCGTTTTAGGGGGCTTATATCTCGCTTATTTCACAACCATGTATCTAAATTAATGCCAGTTTTTATCATATGTTTTTATTCTTTCTCCTTTACGAAATGAAACTTCTGATATTACGAAGCTTACACTGATATAATGATGTGTGTGTGTGTGTGTGTGATTATGGCAAAGCCTCAAGGGCTATCTGCCTAAGAGGAGGGATGCCTTCGTGGAGGACTTTCTAAGGGAAACTGGCTCGTATACACGTTACACATAGGGAAAACCACGAAAACACCCATGCAGCCAACCCGTTCGCGGGATTCGAACGATATAATGATGAAAAATATATACTCGTATAGTGATTAAATATGCTGAAAAGCGGATATCAGAACTCCGTTTTTGTTTCCAGTGTTTGTTACCTTCAAGTCAAAGGCCGATTGATTCCCAGAGGAAAATCTTCTTCCTATATTTATTTATTTATTTTTGCTGAAGAAAATGGCAGAACGTGATTGAAAATAAGCACAGAAATAAATAAGACATACGTATGTTTGCTTATATATTTTCCCAAAAGAGAAAAAGGATTTGAAACAGAAGCGCACTGACATAAAATGTAGAACAAGCTTTGTAGTTTTGTAGTTGGTTACATATACACCGTTACCTAAATATTAAACATTCGAAACACCAAAATAAATACAAATTTACAAATACAAATAGGAATTTTTTAGTATACATGCGGTATTTATAGAAGTGTTTCTTAGAGAAAAAATATCATCAGTCGTCGATGTAATAGCCCACCAGCGGCCGAGCGGTAAAGTCGCTGAACACTGGTAGTTCGGTCCGAGGTTCGAATCCCGCGAACGGGCTGGCTGCATGGGTGTTTTCGTGGTTTTCCCCATGTGTAACGTGTATACGAGCCAGTTTCCCTTAGAAAGTCCTCCACTGAAGGCATCCCTCCTCTTAGGCAGATAGCCCTAGTGTGCTTTGCCATAATTAAATACACCAACACCGTCGATGTAATAATAATGTTTATAAGGAATTATCGTATTCCTTCGGGCGTATTCTAGTAATGTGAGTGGTAGTATGTTCAGGTAGCAATTTAAAAGATCCATAGTTCGAATCTTAACAAGGACCTAGTTGATTTTTTCCGTTTTCTGCTTCAATAAAGCTATTCGCTCTACGCACTCAGATAAAGATTTTTATATTAACCAAAATTCCACTTGAGAGTTCATCTCAAATGAAAGTTCAAGCGACATTATATTAAATTTCAAGTACGTGTTTCAAAAGGCAGTATCACACGTATTGCTTTTCATGGAGAGTAAATAACAAGAGACTGAAAACAAAATAATCTTAAAAACAGAAAACAAAACTAAAACATTTAAGAAGCAAAAAACATAAAATTCGTGAATCAAAACTTAAACGAGGTCCAAGAAAATAATACTAAGCCCAAACGGAAAGTGGCGACACAACAGTACGATATTTACGCACGTGGAAACGAAAGAAACCAAAGAAAATCTTTTACTGTACTAATTCAAAAGGCTTCTTATTGATATTCCCATTGAATCAAAATGCTTTCATTGAAGGAAGTGTAAGGTTTCAGTTTATTTTCAATAATAAATGTTACAGTTACGCTTCCTTATCAGTTTTTCCGATTTCTGAAAGGCGGCTATTTTATTCAGAAGATGCAATTTAGCTTAAGATAGAAGAAGAATTTCATGGAAAATGTATATAATTAGTGTTAGTGGTTGCTATTAGTACGAGCGATTTCTATTAGTGAGAATTCTGTTAGCGGTGTTCTATAGCGGAAGTTAACAAACAGAATAGCTTCTTCTGACTGTTATTTTTTCTTAGATTATTATTTCTTTGCGGAGAAATCAAAAGCCAGAGAATAAAAACTGAATGAGTGTTGTGATAACTCCTAATAATTGTTTGAAGTTTCTTTCATTTTCTTCCTATTCGTGGTATGATGTCTGCCTTCATATTTTCTTTTATAACACGAGAAGAAAGTTACAAGGTAAGTTTTATTTCGGGGTCACTACACCCGTTTGTTTGTTTTACTTGGAATTAGTTCCAAGTAGCAAAAAGGAGCGCTTGTATTTTATATCTCAGCCAAATGCCTTAGAACACTTGGTACAAGTACAAAATCTAGTAACTGAAATGCCTGAGAACCACCAAAGGTCAACGGTTACGAGGTAAAGGCATGATGGTTTGGTTTATTTAATTATGGGAAAGCATACTAGGGTTATCTGCCTAAGGGAAGGGATGCCTTCGCGGAGGACTTTGTAAGGAAAACTGGTTCGTATTCATGTTACACATGGGAAAAGCTACGAAAACGCCCATGCAGCCAACCCGTTCGCGGGATTCCCAGCAACTTACCGCTAGACCGCTGGTGGGCTGTGTGTGTGTAATTATGGCATAGCCTCGAGGGCTATCTGCCTAAGGGGAGGGATGCCTTCGTGGAGGACTTTCTAAGGGAAACTGGCTCGTATACACGTTACACATGGAGAAAACCTCGAAAACGCCCCTGCAGCCAGCACGTTCGCGGGATTCGAACCTCGGACTGAACTACCAGTGTTCAGCGACTTTACCGCTCGGCCGCTGGTGGGCTGTAAATGCATGGATCAGTGCCGGATATGCGTTTATTTTTTTAAGTATTCTGAATAGCTAAAGTGACTCTAGCTTTTTCACAGCTAATGCGCAAACAATGTTTCATTTAAATTTTCAGTTTATGAACCTAAAGTTACACTGTAATTACAATTAATCCAGGCTCTGAGTAAAAAAAGAAATCATCTAGTCTTAAGTTTGAATCCTGCAACAGATACTCATAACAGCAGATTTATAAAAGGAGATAAAATATTTATTAGTACATTATCTTGAATTTACAATTAAGAAAACTGGCAAAAACTGAATTCCTTCTGTTTGCGGATAGAAAATACAGTAGTAGTCCTTTTATTCACAAGCCAAATATTTAAGGCTGGTTATGATAAAATGTCTTTTCACGTAACCAAAAGTAAAAATAGCTCACCGACAACTAAGGCAGTGCAGCGGCAAGAAGAATCAGAAGAGTTACGTTTCAAACCTAAGTTGCCGATTCTCTGAACTTAAATTTTTCACTTAATTTATATTTTCTGAAGCAGGTGAAACAATGTAAAAAATGTACAAACTGTAGAATAAAGCAAGAAAAGTTCAACATAAGAAAGGATGTGTTAATTTTATGTTAACCTTACCGGCCTTTCTCCTTTAGCTACTACTGTTTGATATTAAGTATGTAGAAAAAGTTCTCAAGAACTACATAAATAAACATATTTTAGTGCAAAGTTATTTTACAAAAGTCACTTTCTTTAGAATACATGTCTAGGACATGGATCGTTAACCACCCTAAGCATATAAGAATAACATACAACGAATACGAAAAAAAAAATTATTCTTTCGAGTGTGACCTGGAATGGTGTATTTAACTATGACAAAGCACACTGGGGCTATCTGCTTAAGGGAAGGGATGCCTTCGTGGAGGACTTTCTAAGGGAAACTGGCTCGTATACACGTTACACATGGGAAAAACCACGAAAACGCCCATGCAGCCAGCCCGTTCGCGGGATTCGAACCTTGGACCGAACTACCAGTGTTCAGCTACTTTACCGCTCGGCCGCTGGTGAGCCTGTGACCTGTAATGATTCAATAATTTTCTAAAAGTTCTTCATATAACATTATGAGACAGATGAATACTGGTAGTTCGACTAGGTTCTAGTTTAGGCGAATGAGCTAGTTGCATGGTTGTTTTTCGTGTTTTCTCCATGCGTAAAATGAATATGAACAAAGTTCTCTTAGAGTGTCCTCCACAAAGGCATTCCGGTCCTTAGGCACTAATATTTCTACTCTTAGATACACAAGGGAATTCATGTCCTTGTGCGCATTGCCATATTCGAATAAACTGACTTAATAATATAACATATAATAATTCACATTTAGTTAATATTTGAATATAACCCTTTCCTTCCATAATATTTCAAGAGTTAGGGCGCATTATTTACTTAACACTTTTTAAATATACCCTTAGAAAAAACATCAATGTTGATAATGTACGCTGCACAGTTCAGAAGGACTTTGACCATGAGCCGTAAAGCAATTTATAAATAATCCCCTTTTAAAAATTTTAATTACTTTCGGCAAGTCCCTTATGCTATTTTTGTTTATTCGATTAGCAGAATTTATAACAGTAAGTTGGAAATTGAAAATTTTATTTTGTTTTACTTTTTACAGCGCTTTAAACAAAGGAACTTCCTTGTTCAAATTTCTATATAAATGACTACTCTCACGATCAGTCAGTGAACTTCATCCGCAGCTATTAGAGAAGAGTGGGTCTCATCTGCTCCGAAGGATCTTCACTTCAAGATAATGACTAAAGAAATCGTAAGTTTCTAAAGTTGAATATTAATTGTTTTTAACTACTCAAACATTTTCTGCATTAAAAGAATACTCTTGGAGAAAATCACACGCTTTTAACAGAGGAAACATCCTTGTTAAAAGTGTGCCTTTGCCGTAGCTTGCATAGCCGTGATTCAGTGTACCTAATAAAAATGCATACGGTAAGGTAGTCCAGTTTATTAAAAGCGAAGTTTCGCATTCGTACTTCGTACTAAGTACGTGCTGTAGTGGTGTAAGTGGTAGAATGTCCAGCTAGCATTGGAAAGTTTATGGTTTGAATAGCGGTAACTGCATGGTTGATTTTTCGCGTTTTCTGTGCGGCACCTAACTACGTTAGCTCTAAATTCTGGCTTTGTGTGAATCAGCATGTTTTTTCACCCCTTTATAGTCTTCCAGCGAAATAATACTGAAATCAAAAGAAAATTTAAAATAAGCCCTTTAAGTTTAAAATGTTAACAGAACTACACCGCTTGTGTATCAGCAAAACAAGTCATAGCTTATGGCAGGAATAACAGAACATAAAGATAAACTTAAGCAGGTAAAGTAAAAATTCCCACGGCAAAATCCTATTCTAAATTCTAGCTCAGGCCCTTTAACTACGTGAGCAAATCTGGCTGTCATATGATAATGTCGATTCAGACAAAGCTGTGCGAAAATGATTCAGAGATGGTCAGTGGTCGCGGCTAACACCTCTCTCTTAACTTCACAAGTCTGTTCTTATGTACGTAAACTAATCTGTATCTTTATAGGAGCTGACAAAAGTAAAAGTGACAATTCAGATAAACGTAATAAAATAATGGGTTAATAAATTAAAATTTCTATATTCCTGCTTAGAAAAAATTAATGTTTCTCCTGTTTTGGAGTATTAAAGAATTTAGTTTTGCTATATGCATGAAAATGCAGCAAAAATTAAAATAGATGGCAGTTACGCATGACACTTAGGCTTGCGTTTGGCTTCTTAAGCAGCCCATTTAATATCAGAAAGTTTCGACTGCATGACAGAGCAGAAAAAATTCAGCATTAGCTTCTTCAGACGTCTAATTACGCATTTCTGACCTTTAAATTATTTCAACTTATTATTGCCGTAAGTTCAAAGTCATATGATTAAAAAACATAGGGAAACAAAGAGGATTAATATTCTTTAAAATATTTACTGTACTGTAAACGATGAATCTGAGAAGCAGGTTGATATTATTGTCATCTACATTATTATATGAGCCCCGGATCTAGTTGTTCCAAAGTAATCAATGGCAGCTTCAAAATTGCGGAATACATTAGAGAGACATACTTGACATTTAACCTTTGCTTGAGGTCGCGTGGTCAGCGAATGGAAGATGATAGCTTCAAATTTATGATACCATCAGCATTTTATCACCTATGCGTGCTCAAGAGTTCCAGCGGTTAAGACATTGGTCTGTAGAATGAAGATACGGAGTTATCTCTTTCCTCGGTCGAGATCATTACAGAGTCATATGTTCACATTCATTTTGATATGTCCGAGACATTAAACAGAATTAACAACTACGTGGGATATTTCGCACATTTGGAGTTTTCTAGCTGAGTAAAGAAAATTTACTCAGCTAGAAAATTATATTCCTTAACATCTTGTCCAAATATTAGACAAACGACAAATTATATTTTCCCCATCATCTCTTAGATCTGTTGCTTCTTAATGTACGTTCTCTAAATCTGTAACCCCCTTTTACAATAAGTAAATGTGCATTCTTTGCGCGTTTTTTGGCTTGAGCATTTGAAGTACATTTGTATTACTTGAAGAGAAAGGTGTCTAACATTTTGTACAAAAATAAATCTGCTGTTAACCTGATAAGGCCCTAAAACTAGATTAATTTTTAATAGTTATAAAATAAATACTTTACTTTGAAAAGCTGTTAATATAGTTATTAGGCGCCGAATGAGTGATGTGTATAGTTAGATTAAACAAATGAAGGATAAACAAGTATATTTTGCAAATACTCTCGTGATTTAATTGAAAATAAATGCTTTCAATAGTAATTATTTTTCATATTGCATTATTGAACTGTTAAAGAAATGCAATTTCGAAAAGTATTTATTGGCTAGCGCCGTTATGTACATGTAGATAGGTATTTCCTCGTCCAAAAACTTTTAACTCCTCATTTTCCTTTGGTGTGAAATTTAGCTACATTTCTGCATTTAGGTACAGCCAGTTTAAAGAGGTTTTATATTTTCTAATCATCTGTGAATTTCGTATTAAGACAAAGGCTGGCCGAGTAATACAGGTATTCAAACGTGCTGTTAGATAGACGTTTGGCAAATAAAAAATGACTGAAATTATTTGAGAGAAAAGTTTACACAACCAAAAAAAAAAAAAAAAAAATACTTCAATAGAATTAGGGAAAATAAATTATAATTACTTTTTTCTCATTTTCACAGAGACCAATGCATTTAGTTTGTCATCAAAATTTTGGGCAAAATAAAGAAAATGACTTTTTTCCATATGTGTTTGGAAGAGGTAACGCAATTATGTTAAGTTTTGAGCTACTCCCTGAATGCTAGCAAGACAGTTTCTATTTTATCTATCATTTTTATTCTATCATCTATTAAAGATGATGAGATAGGATTTTTACTTTAATTATTAAATAAACTTATGCGTGAGTCGTTTGTTTTAATTGAATTATTAAATAAATTTAAACACTATGCCTTTTTTTACTTTATTTGTTAAATAAACTAAGTAATAATTTATTCATATGACAAGTTTGCTTTGCTACATGTATTCAATTTCAGAACTAACACATGAAAAATATTCTCTGATAGGTCTGGTATGTTGATCATACGTTTTAAAAGTTTCTATGACATAAGGTTAATTAAAGATTTTAATACATTATTTGCTTCAGTTCTTTCGCTTAAAAATATTTATAGCATCTTCTCATACTTTCAGTATCAAAAATACCTTTTTTGCATGGTATTTCTTTAATACAATACCCTAGGGAGCTTTTAAACACTTTCTATGCTTCCTTACTTAAGCTTGAAATTGAAGAAAAGACTAAATACCTGCAAAACAAGAAGGCGAAATAATCTTGCAATTTGCTGGATCCTAATATTCTCTTACAATGTAAACAACCCAACAGCTTCATCCTAAATGAAATATTACTGCAATATTGAAGCTAGAAGAGCTCTGAAAAATGTCTCTAGCCACCCTATGTTCATAAACCTACTTCCTTTATTTAGATATAATTTGATGATGTACCCCATTTTAATATCTAGATATATTTATGATGCGATATAAAACTTCAACTTTAAGCAGTCATCTACCTTTATATACCGAAAAATAAAAATGAAATATTTTAAATTTAAAAATATTCTGCTTCGACTTTAATGCTTAATATCATTGCTTTATAACAGAAGATTTGAGGGATTATTTTTGTTATGTGTAACGGAATATGACTCCATGCTCACATTTACTCAGCTGATATTAATTTTTGTTAGGCATTCATAATTAAGACTTAAGGGGATCCAAGATATATAAAGTACCAATTCGTCATTAATACTTAGGGGTATCCAAGATGTACCTTACCTTACAAATAATACCTGTAAGGTAGTCTAGCAAGCGTAATATATATCTTATATTATGCTTGCTATATTATGCTATCAGAATCAAATCCAAGCAGCCAAGCAATAAATTAAGCAAAAATATGAAATAAGCATTAAACTATATGCAACTATATGCTATTTATTTAGGAATTCTTAATTAATGGTGTGTAGTTTCCCACATTTGGGGAAATTAGGATAAATTTACACAGTAATTGATACAAATATGTTCTTAAGCTTAGCTTCATGTGAATACACATCTAAAAATATTCGTTTGATAACAATTTCAGATCTGTTCCTTCTGCGATCATGTACGTTATCTATTTATTGAAAGCAGATTAGATATATAAATAGCCACCTCAACGCAATAGTAGCAATATGCATATACCAATTGCAAAGCTATGGCGAAATGTTACATTTCAGCTGAATATGACAGACTGAATATTGACAAGTCAGCGAAATGTGTTTAGAATAATTTAGTACTATGGCCAGTCACGATACGCTCGGTATATATGGATATGGGAAAGATGAAAATGCATATAGAGAATGTTAACTTTTCATCTTTTCTTAAGCTTCTAGTGATAATTTCTCGGAAGGGAAAGAAGTTATATTTGAAACTGGAGCTAGGAGTAATACATATTTTCAGTCAGAACTTTACTATCTGAATATAATAACCAATTACACCACAAGAATACATGCTGTAAAATACGATAGTTCTTTTCTTGTTATGGTTTGTCATTTGATTTATATTTTTCGTTTAATGAGAAGAAAGCACACTTAACTATAATAATGCAATCCAATTCCATCAATCTGATAATAAATTGCAAATAAGTATGTTCTCATCTACAGGCAGGTTAAGCGTTTTGAATAAAGTACCTTTCTCTGTAACCTTCTGCAGTTCAGGGTTGAAGGATGTTTGTAATGTTAAAACAGTTTTTATGACATTGATGTATCCCGTGAAAAATCCCTCTGTTTTGCAGGTATGCACATAACACGACGAACTAAAACTTCTGAGATACACAGTCTTTGCTTCATACTGTAAACAATTTAAAGACTCTGGGTGAACGTAGGTTATGTTAGTTGAATATGGCAAAGCCAGGGCTATCTGCATGACAGGCGGGATAATTTCGTGGGGGACTACGTGAGAGAGACTGGCTCGTATTTACGTTACACGTAGGGAAATCCACGAAAACCGACCCTGCAGTCAGCCTGTTCGCTGAAGCCAAACTAGGTCAAACTAGCAGTTTTCAGTGGTCTTAATCACTCAACCACTAATAAGACCTCTTGAACGTAGAGCTTGTAACCACCACTGAAGTTTCTGAATTGTTGGAAACTGTAAAGAAGGCTTATCAATAATGTCCTGTATATCAGAAAACCAGTCCTTTCTGTTTTACTGAGTTCACGACAAGCGAAAATAC